TTTCCTTCTTTTCATGTCTGCATCTGAAAGAACTTCGCAGTCATTCCTCTCCCTAGACTGTGGCCGAATCTGCTCCGTCCGCGTTTCTTCGATGTTTTGCTATCTCCGCTACTCTCTGCCGGTACACTTCTTCCTTCGCAGCTGTCTTCTCTCAGTACATCTGCTGGAAAATGCCTCATCTGCGACAGCAATCTCTCTGTTACAGAGAGACTTCACCGGCAAATATCCGAGGTGAGCGAGGAGAGCGACCAAGCCTCGGATGGCAAAACGACGCCGTGTTCCCGTCCTGGACGGGAACCCGGCGTCAAACTTTAAGACTTGAAGGTACTGTCTTTGGTCTCGCAAAATCCCAGCAACCTCTGTCCAACCTCACCCACATCCAATTCATAATAACCTATGATCACTGCAAGGCGTTTTTTTGGTGACCAGGTCTGTCGACAAGTCGAGATTAATATAATGAACAGAACTGCGGGACCCCTTATCGCTGAGGGAGCTGCGCGCTACTATCGTCGCGGCATCTAGAATCTCACACGAATAGCCGGGGGAGGCTCCAGCCTGGAGCGCCAGGAAGTGCCAGGCTCGGCATCATATCTCATGAAACTTTCATGATGAAAGCTTCTGTTATCCTGTCAACATTACTTTGAGCAGTACCAATACGCAGGCACAACAACGCGGCGTGAATCAGTATCATAGGCCTCTGTAGGGGTGGCCTCGCCATAGTCTGAGCCATTCTCTTCGCCAAAGTGGTCGTGCGAGAAATATGGGCATCCGTTTTCACGTGAGACGAAGAGCATCCAACTCCAAACGGACTTTGGCCTTACACTCGCATAAGGCCACAACTTCTTGGTCTTCACTCCCCTAGACTATAATGAATCTCAACTCTGGAATCCAGAGTTTGGATGCAAGATCTGCCATTTGCGGAGTTGTAACCGGCGACCTTCGACGTCGAGAAGTCCCTTGGCTCTGCGTTTCTTATCGGTTGGAGTGAGAACTCCACCCGCGCCGGCATCGCGCGCTGCTAGCCGTTGAATTCGGCCTTTTGGACGACGCTGTCTGATTGTAACCTGGCCAGTCGATGGGACTCTATCAGAAGCTACTCATGGTTGGATCACCACGCGCGCTAGGTACCGACTCCCATGAGGAAATTTGGTAAGGCGCTTGTGACCGACACCATTGCTGGAGCCGTCGTCGCCGATGATATGCTCATGCTCTGTCTTGCTGATAATCGCCGCTCAAATTGAGCCATGAGCAAATTAACCTTTTTCAAATTAGCGAGGTTCAAATTGAGCCTTGCTATTGAGCCACTCAGTAGCTAGCTAAACCTCGTGCTAAGGGACAATGATGCTGTGCAAGTGTCTACGGAAGAAGCCTTCAGTGTGTCCCTTAGTTCCCTGCATTTTCTCACTTCTCTCAACTCAATGACAATTGTCGTAAGCGATTGTCGTAACATCTTGTTTCATGACAGACATCCAAATTACATGTAATCCTCGTCATCCTCCTCTTTCTCGGCCAAAGAGATCCACCAAGAACCCGGGGTGGAGCTGGTGTGGGCCTGGAAGTGATCACAGAGTTGCGCATAGAACCGCGAGAACACAGTAGGAGCCTTCATAGCCGCATGGATCTGCTGAACAGCAGCGTAGCAATTCGGTCGTTTTGCTACCGTGATACGGTACTGAGCCAAAGGGTTGCCACCGCTTGATTTGTCAGGGAAATGTCGGCTGAGGCAAACATAAACCCCACACTGCGTCACCCACGCCGTGTTCAGGAGGTATGCTTACTTTAGGTAAGTCCTTTTTGAGCATTCAATGGATTTAGTGTTGATAGTCCCAGAGCTGTTATCGACTCGGAAGTACCAATGCACGTCCCTTAGGCGGGTGGGATAATCCTCACAGTTCATATCGTAGCTTAACTCGCATGTATCGCCGTATGTATACACGTTGGCACATGCCATCTGCAGAGAGCTCATGGCGAAGTCGACCCGTTACGGTAGTTCACTTACATCCAAAGATGTATTGGTCTCTAGCTGAGCCGACTCCTTAGATGTTCGTAGAGCACAGGCTGTGAAAATACAGGCCGCGAAGTGGAAGATAATCCTTGACATGTTGACCATAGAGCATGGAAATATCATATTTGATCGTTGCCCGAGACGAGCGAAGCAAGGGGGACGCGCCCGTAATGATGCTCTGAGCCTACGATGTTGGCCCCAGTAAACTCTGATATCAATTGTAGTTGCTCGTGGATTGGAAATTACTATCTATTCAGGGGGCATCATTTGCTGCGTTGCTAACCTTCTTAACCGTGGCCGCAAATCCCGGTATCCACGAACTAGCTAGATTCATCAACCCTCAACCATTCCCTCCGCGGCCTCGATATTGTAATAGGCTGATAATCGGAAGATATTTGAGTTCGCTCACGAGCTAGCTACGTCGAGCGAGCTTGAACTGGTTAGCTGCCAGGAGGCCGACAAGTAGCATGAACTTATTCCCATCTCTTAGCCGGTCTATCATAACCACACCTGTGCTGTCCATTAGGTGTCACGGATCCGCGATGTAGATACACCCTTGGTGGGTGGATTCAGATGAACATCGCCCCGCATCGTTGCGACGGTCAGAGCCATTCCATATGGCTCCTCTTCCTCTATTGATGAGCCCGTGCTTTTCTGCTGTCCATTGACCTGGTATCGCGTTATGTGAACGATGATGGAGAAGCGATTGGATGTTGGAGAATATGCGTTTCATCACTGATCAAAATATGACTCAACCAATGATTCGGTTCACTGAAGGGACTTATCCTCCCTTCACATTTCCTAAAGATGACTGACCGCCCCCTACATTTAATTAGTATCCGGTCTTACTTATCGGAAGAGGACGTACATACTGCGCGTGGTGGACTGCCGGCAAAACACTTTAGAGGCTGTACACCATCATAATGTCTGGCACTGTTACTCAATGCAGTCATAGTCCGTATCATGTTAGATCGTCGCGGTAGGGTTCGTTGATTTCATTTCTCTTATGTAGTAGCATATTCTCCTTGACCAAGTTGAAGAGGCCTTTTCAAGACTCAAGTTGAATTACAGTCACACTCCTATTGTAACGCCATCTCGTTTATCGTGATCCCCCGTTCATTGATAGGTGATCTTTCCCTCCCTGTGAGCGTTTGAGTGGAGTAATCATATTTTTCGATACACAATATGTTCGGTGCTTGAAGTCAAGACAAACCTAGCTTGCAACAACAACAACAACAACAACAACAACAACAACAACAACAACATGAACATGGTGTCGACATACATCGATGAGAGAGATGAGCATACCTCGTCATGTTATGGTCGATCCGAGGCGACGAGTATCAAACAGAGTGCACAGGTCGGCGAGCAAAGCATTGTAATCATACAAACTCTCCGCCTTACTATGCCCAGCGATAATCAATTGTTGATGTAACTCGTCAACCACAACGTGGCATTCATCCGGATCTCTTCTAGGGGCTAGGATACCTCCCGCAGGGAGTACACGTCTCCGAATATTGATGCTGAGTTTTAGCAGTGGATCGTCGACCCACGTGTTAACGGTATGATCATGATGGTCGCTGACATGTAGCTGATAGGATGGGTCGACGCTGACAATGAACGTGGATTACGAGCGCCGTTATTAAGAACAAGAAGTACGACCTACCGAGTGTAGGCGATGGGCCCACATTCTAAGTGGATCGTGCTTAACCGTCCTTGCTCCAGGATGGTGAAGCCCCAGGAGGCCAACAACTTGCTATTGTTGATGCTACTTACTACCATCCAGCAGTCGTCCGTGTGGGAGGGTAGGAAACTCGCGGCTTCCCTCAGTAGTGGTTTATCATTCTTGTTGGGCTCACTGATTGGTGGTAGCTTGGCTTTAGATTGATTGTGCCCGGCTAAGCTCAGAGAACATCGGGAGAGTAGGATTAACGATGGTAAAAGGAACATGAGATATGGGAAAGCGCAGGGGGAAATGTCATTCTGCGCTTAGTCGTTGAGGAAATGCAAGATTGTGTAAGCGTGCAAGACGTCACGTCTCATGGAGAATTGTCAATGCTCATCGACCGCGTAAGATGTCGATTCCTCCAACGTCGTATCCGTTGCTTACTGGCTTGTTATCGATTCGAAAGGCCCCCAAGTGGTCTATGAAGGTAGTATCGGGAGGGAGGGTGGAATCTCTCGAGTAGATCCAAGAGAATAAGGAATAGGTTGGGTTGATCGCTACAGCTCGGGCAAGTGTTGTCTTGGCTCAGAGTCGAGGTCCGTCGTCTCTGATGAATTCTGAGGCCGTCAAGGTGCCAGGTCCTGGTGCATATGCGAGTGATAACGCGACCGTTGATGCCAGCAAGTGCCATAAATACACTCTCGTGGCACAGCAGGAGGAGAATGGGCTTATCAGATACCCCACATCACCACGATTCGCTTTCGGTACGGCTCCTCGGGATCAGGTGACCTGCAAGAAATTGGGCACTACCATACCTGGTCCGGGAGCCTACACTCCCAGAGACGTTGAGCTACCATCGGCTACACGGTAATGAAAAATTGTTACGGTATTATTCCCCGCCCCACTAGTCGACTAGATGTGCATTTGGTCGGTCGAATCGGACATCTATCGCTGATAAGACGAATGATTCCCCCGGGCCAGGATCGTACAGTCTGAGTCGCTCCCTAGGAGGACCGAGGTACGGCCCTTCGATACTCGTGCCTGACGCGGTTATTGTTGCTCTCAGCTACTCCACTGGATCTAGACGGGATGGTCCCCGGTCCACTCGGCCAAGGGAGCCGGGGCCTGGCCAGTAGGGCTCTTGTGAGGTCAATGCAATACGACAGTTGACGAGTAGATACGCGTCTCCGACAGCCTCAGCTGTATCCGGCCATGAGGCTGCACCGAGCTGGGGATTTGGCACTTCACAGAGGTATCACCACCATCCCACGAGAACAGTCATGACCCGTTACAGGCCTCCTATTGGTTCCTCGGGGTTTACATCCGCCCGTCGTACTGAGGCAGACTCATCACGAGGGCCAGGTCCGGGTACATATGAGGCGGGCAGCTGTATCGGACCTAAGACAAGTAGTGATGCTACTCCTTGTGATGGCATCCCCTTGTGATACAAAGGTTCGAGTGCACCACGGTTCACCATGCGGCAACGACGGAGGTCATCGAAAAAAAGGTAACGCTGCGTTGCTAGAGCTAAGAGGATGTTCACTTGCCAGATCCTAGCCCGGGCCCTGGAGCTCATGGGGGTGCTTACACCCAGTTTGGGTGAGGGCGATAATTATTCGAGTCTACATTTGTCATTGGCAGATACTGATTGTTATGGAGTTCTTCTTGTTGTTGTTTCATGAGAGTATATTTAGGTGGTGTAATTATGATGATCGTCATGATGGTGGCAATGCATTGTTGAGCTCAATGGGGGAGGGGGTCGGGTTCGCGGTTCTATGGGCAGTTACTTCACCAAATGCGCTACTACTACGACACCTCTCAATCCCATCGGCCTAATGGGCACGATGAGGGAGATGATACCTCTGAGAATTACACGCGGATATTGTTTGCATACCTAAGTAGATGTGGCGTTGGTCGATCGGCATTAGAAGCTGACGTCGCTGAAGTCCCCGAAGGAGGTAGTAGTAGTAGTAGGGTGAATGGTAGCGTGCTATGATGACAGTGTAGATTGTCATCGGTTGAAATTAAAGTGTTATCCACTGGACGAGTACTGCGAAGGAGAGGGGTCGTCGGAATTGAAGGCATTCCAAGATGCGGCCAGAAAGGTGCTCGATGTCCTTGATAGGAAACAACTGTTGGAGGCCAGGTAGTGCAATGGTGGACAACTTGAGCGACCTTTCTTCCGTGGTGGAGATCTGGAGTTCGATCCCTGCATGTTGTATTTTTCAGGGGCCGGCGTCTTAACCTGATGTTGCGGAAGTATGGAGGTGATGATGCGGTGGTGACTAATGGGGGCAGCAACCTGAAAGATGTACCGCTTCCTCGGACACCTGATCTAGATCGTTATGATGGTAGTTGTTTGAAAAGTCTAAGGATGTGGGCAGCCCTTTTTACACTCTATTGGAGGACGCAGCGGAGGATGAGGCGAAACTGAATGGTGATGACTATAGTGCCTGAATGGAGAAGTTGCCAATCTTGGTCTTGGCAGTTGCCAGCTCCCTGGTGTTACAGTCCTTGATGGCATCCCCCACTGCAGAGAGCCTCTATGAGGATGCGACTGCCTTTCTGAGGAAGTAAGTGACAGTATGGTTGGGGAAGTTTCACGCGTGGGTTCGATTCCCAGCAATACCTATCCTTATTTCCAGATTGGGTGGGTCCTTGCCTGCTTGGGTGATGATTGACAAGCCCCCTGTGTACCTGCTTGGAGCTGTCCATTGGTGCCTTCTAGCCGTCGTCACTGGCCAAGTAAGTGCATTACACTAATTTGTGGGGCAATGTATGGGTTACTGTGTAGCAGTATTTGACGGTGCTCAATCAGGTAGACGAGGTAGTGCCACAGACCCAGGAGGTTATCATGCCATGTTTATTGGCACTTGAGCATGTGTAAGCGTAAAGCCTTTGGCGACTGCTAAGACTGAAGTAGGTATCTTTCTTGGGCTCCCGAATATCCAGGATTATCTCAATTCTGTTCGGAGCTTATACGATACATGCTTGTGACCAGAAAAGCCCCTATGATTGCGAAAACAAGGTAGTAGTGCGAGCGGAGCGAAGCAACTTGTTTTGTATTCTTCCACTCACAGATTAGAGTGCTACGAACTACAAAGTCTTGCATCGGAGGCTGCTAGAGACATGGCTCTACCCTATAGGCATTCTTCATGTAATAGGAGAAGGAGTACAGCGGAGCGAAGCCGAGATTACTCTGCCGTTTTTGCAGGTACTCATGCGGAGGATGCTAATAATGAGTTGGAGTATATAGCAGAGTTGATGTTCCCGCCTTCTGAGAGGATCGACTGGCTTCATAAACAGTTCGAAGAGGTCAATGAGATTGTAGGGTGTTATCGACAAGTTGTGGCCGATTTATGGTTTTTCTATCAGTTATTGAGCTCGCCATTGGGAGTTGAAGGTAGAGTATATGGCAGTCTTGTGAATGGCTTCCCGACGGCACATAGTGATATAGATGTTGCTGTTGAATTAAGAGATGATGTTAAAGAGGAACTACTGTAATATTGGCTCAGGGCCCTGGTTTGGTGTCTGCCTAGGAGTATAAACTGCTGGGCTGTGGGGCAAGTCACACGCATGTATTGGTCAGCAGATCCAAGCAGCTTGACGCGGATGGTGAGGATGGTGGTTGTAGTGATAAGGAGGAGAACGAGAATAATCAAGAAGTATTGACGGAGAAGGCAAAGGATCGTAAGGCAACCATAGCAGCTATTGAGCTACTAGGGGAAGAGTTTGATAAACGAGGGTAGGTGTAGTTGGGTCGTTGTTGGTGTAGGGTGTAGTTCATGTATGGACAGGTATGCTGTTAACGAAGTTGTTACGGCTCGTGTACCGATATTGTTATTAGTGAAGGAAGTTACAGGTAGTAGTGCCGCCGCGTCGTTGGTTGAGGGGGATTAACGTCGTAATGATGATAAGGTCCTGATGGTGAGAAGGAAAAGGTCGAATTCAATATATCATTTGATCACGAGATAACACTATATAATTCAAGGCTGCTTAGATGCTATTCCATGCTGAGGCCAGAGGTAGTGCCTGCCGTGGCCCATTAGGGGGATGTATTCTACAGGTGCGGACGTTGGTAGTCCTAGTGAAGCACTGGGCCAAGACCAGGGATGTTAATGATGCCTGCAATGGCACCTTATCTAGTTACAGGTGAGCCTGTAGCTCAATGAGCTTTCCGCTCTTGTCGGCGGCAGCATAGGTTCGCCTCAGTGGTTTTGTCGCTTCAGTTATGCTCTGCTGGTCATATTTTTTCTCCAGCAGAAGGGTATATTACCATCCTTACAGGATCCTCGCTGCTTTCGTGATGTCAAGTCAGACTGGATAGTCGACAGGTAGAATTCGTGCTTGCGTACCAGCAGGTCCCTGGTTCAATTCTCTGTGACGTGATTGTCGACACTGCTCAGATACGTCGATTCACACGAACATCATGTATATTTTTTCGATTGGTTGTCGACTGGAGTGACTGACCCTCAGGAAGCCCTCAATCGATTTTTCCTCCCCGAATATGCTCAAAAGTAAAAAGGTGAATGCCGGATGCGGGGATCGATCCCGGCATCTCAGATCCGTGCCTAGCATTGCAGTGCTGCTATTCGAGTTCTTCGAATTTTACGCGGAAGTTTTCCCAAGCTACGAGTCCATTGTCGACATCCGAACTATCGGCCCACCAATGTCGAAGGAGGAGTACTTCAAGTCAGAGCTGGCCAAGATTTTGAAGCGAGTAGAGGCCAAGAGTAATAACCTCAATCGAAGGCCCGAGGGTAGCATGGATTGGGCAGGTTCTAACTATGGTGACAGTGATGGTGACGGACCTCACCCACCCACTATTGATGCTGTTATGAGCCTAAGGCGTCGTCGGACATGGCTGGCTATAGCGGATCCTTTCGAGAATCTTAGACTCCTCGGTGTTAGTGCCAGGGGCATGGAGAGGACCATGTTGGAGATGAGGGCGGCTTTGGCTGTAATACGAAGGCTTCACTATGTGGCTGGTTGATGGGGCTCCTTGTCATTTTTCAGCTGCTCAATCATCCAGATCCGAAGGTTGATTCGATCGAACGGCTGTTCTCGTCGCATAAGGTTCGCAGAGGAATGAGGGAGTTTGGCCATCCACGGAAGGCCATTGATAAGGCCGCCCACAATTGGGGGACCTATCACGACAATAGCGTGGAAGGCATTAGGACTAGGTGATACATAGTCGAGTCGTCAGAGGCATTGGTTCGCACGCTGAAGGTCTGTGGTTCGATCCCTCCTCGTTCAGTTACATTTATTATAATTCTAGCGAGTCTGCCGAAGCATTCTGCCGCAATCCCGAGCTTGATGATGCCGCTACGTGGGCGGCGGTGAATAGGGCGTGGACTTGGGCTACTCATGGGGTCCCATCGAGCCATGCTATGTTGAGGTCAGTGAACTCAGGGGATGTCATATTACCACCCTATCTTACTAGGTTTGATGTATTCTGCTGTCTTACCATGCTGGAAGGAGTCAGTGTTACGTCAACAGAGTGCGTAGAAGCATTGCCGGGCCATAGACTCGTCCGTTCTAATGGCCAGGCTGATGATGATGAGGTAGAAGCAGTAGGGCATCACTACAGGGACTGTTATGGTTTTAGTCTGAAGACGAGTCGAATATGGAAGTGGTTTGTAATATGCCCCAGTTCCAACAGGCTTTGGCCAATGCTCGCACTATGCGGCGTAGTACCACTATCAACGATCAGCGTCGTTCAAAGCAGTTTACTAAGGATCAGCGTTATGCTCCTCATCGAACGTCTACCAACCAATTGCCTCCTGCTCCGCAATCTAGTACCGATCAACACGGTGCTCCCGACCTTCCCCCCCATAGTCGGCCCTCGCATCAGCAACCCGCAGCTCCCCGAGGGACCGGACATCATCAACCAAACGCTGACAAACGAGGTCCACATCAATCAACCAATACCAGTCGGGCCTCTGAACCTTCTAAAGGCCAACAAGGTCTTACTAAGTCGTCGAAAGGCGAAGCTGCTACCAAGGCTGCCTCTAACGATCGTTCAGCTGAATCGCTGAAGGACCAGGGCCCTGCCCAAACTTCCTCCTCTAAGCCACGTCGGGATCGCCGAGGGCGGAGAGACAGTTGGAGGGATACTCAATGGCTCCCTACACCACCGAAAGGGAGGAGGAGCCGGCAACGACATAGAGACGACGATCCGGACTACGATCGGCCGAAGCCTGTGAATGGTGATAAGCAGCAGCTATACAAGCCAGGGAAGGCTACACCTTAGGTAGGGTGATGGGGTGTGTGGAAATGGCTTTATTATGGTATATGTAGGTCAAGTTTCTATGAAGAAGGTGAACGGGTATAATGTCTCAAGAGCCTCCGAGGTGGTGGGATGATTGAAGAATAATAAGGGCCGTTGTCGCACTGCTTGGCAAGTAGGGAAAGGTCCTCGGTTCGATCCCTGACGATGTCATTTTTTCAGTCGATAATGTTCGTGTACGGTAGTTGTATTAGCTTTAGTGAGGCATCTGTATCATTATTTGGTAAACTACCTCAGTGACATTGATAATAATTCTCGGTGCAATGCCCGTTCTGAAGGTCTCTTCTATCTGTCTCCAAATGTACTATGTGGACTACTATAATAACTTGCGTTGGTCAATCACCTTCTTGCATACTAGTGTGCAGTGTACTACTGCACACTTCAGCGATCTCAGCGAGGGGAAGCAACAGACTGAAAGGTGAATCTGAGGTTGATGGAAGTTGGGTAACTGTGTAGCATTACTAGACATAAGTTCTTCCAAATATCTCTATGTCCATTCTGGGCGCGTTAGGGCCATGGCAAGCCTGCAGGGCTAACTCTGTTGGTCAGCTGGACGCATCTTTCGATAGTCCCACCGTATCATCATCGTCATCATCCTCCATCATGCATAGAAACGCGTATCTTGATAACAGTACAGCAGAAGATGATATGATCAGTCTTGAGGTCAGACTTGAAGCTTCTTCTCCCTTGTTGCATTCAGCACTGGATTAGGATATACCACACGATTTGGACCGTGAGATACGGCGGAGCGATGCAGCACACGGTGGCCACCATGCTGAAGGCGTACCTTACTCACCCGTACTCACCCATCGGTGAGTTACTCTGCTGATTAAAGTCGGATCAGGCAATGAAGTCGCCAACAATGGAGCGAGCAACCCCGCCGTACAAAGAACGACCTCCCAGGAACGTCAATAGCGGAAATCGCCTCGTGGTGGGCTCAAGCTAGCTTCAGTGGCCACTCCAATAGGCCCTGGTTCAGGTGCCTAACAGATCATTATTCAAGTCACAGACCTTCGGGACACCTGCTGAGAAGAAGTCGGCCGTCGCTACACCGGACACCAGAACGTCTCCAGGTAGCTCTTGACATATCCTACACTGTGTGTGACACACATATCAGTTATTAGGTCCTCAATCAGCGAGCCCGAAGCCTAGGCCGGCAAGCCTTATCATATCTCGATGCTTGGTAGAAGAGGAAGAGGCTCCGCCTGAGGCGCTGCTGTCACTGGGCATAACGAGTACCACAACTTTCTCTCATGCTGTGATGGAGCTCGTACATTAGACCATATATCGGTGACATCATTCACTCCTAACAATGCCACACCACTAGCCTCCTATCCTTCCTGCCGGGCCATTGAATGTGTGCTCAACCACGGCTCCCCTGCAGCCGATCGGCATGCCATGTGTGCACCCCCGCCCTCCTCGATAGGCTTTGAGACGGGAGAAGGCCTCTCTAACCAAATCAGCGAGAAATGTTTCACTCAAGACGCTCAGTGGAGGCGAGCAGTAGAGGAAGTTCGTCGAGCGGTGGGTCGGGCGTTGGGTCACGCTAGTCATTGCTCATGGACATGTATAAGTTCAAAAGTCAGCTGCCCGTGGGTGTCCTTCCTCCCCTTATGAGCTAGTTGCCGACCTACTACGAGAAGGGCTTCTGAGCTATATGGCTTCTGGTCTCTCAGTGAGAAGTCTCTGATGCCCATGATAGACCTGATA